ACATCCATTCTCGAATGCTTCATATCGCGTTGCCACGGGCTATGTCTACCATTTGCTTTGCATTGCTCATAATTATGATTTAGTTGTCCGTGGATGGGCTTGAATAGGGACGATTGCGCTTCTCTCAAGGTGCGCACCTCTGGAGAGACGATAGTGTGCGCGGTTCTTTCAACTGCTGATCCACCTACTATTGAAGACGATACAGGTATGCATAAAACATATCCACAATCTGTATATTATCCGTATAAACTTACCTCTGGTACGCTGCTTTTGTTGAAGCTTCTCATTCTTAGTATTTTGCCAGCTGTCACATTATGCAATACATTTTTCATAGACTTTGCAGCACTAACGAAATTTTGCAGCCTTGCTGTGACAAATTATGTATCTGTGCTTTTGTACTTGTATACATTTGTGATGGTTTAATGTTATCATTTTTTTTCTTCTTTTTTCTGAGACTTTGCACCCTCCAGGTGCACAGGTTTTTCGCAGCAAACTACGCGTACATCTGTTCGTTTTCTGAAGGTGATACGCTCAAGTCCATCCCGTCCATCATTTATTTTGTCCGTTTTTGGGGTAGTCTCCAGAAGTAAGGTCCTAAATATTACGATTTGTCTTCTTCAATGATTAGCACCATTAATTGCTCTGTAGGCAAGATTGCATTTGATTGACGAATTTCGAATACTAGCATATGGCAGCGGAGCACAGCTAGGTTCACCATTCCCCGCTTCACTTGAGTCTTTGACCTATCAGTCGTTTTGAGAGGCAGAATTATGACCTTCAACTCCAGTTATTCGCCATGCTTCTCTCTAATTCTTCTCACAATGTTTAGCATTTTTCCAATCACATTGCGCATTGCATTGTCTTTGAACTTTTTTAAAACTTTTAATAGACGTACCATCAAAATTTGTGGAAAATAAAGCTGCAAGTTTCACGTCAAAACTCAAGATGGTGCTAAACTACGCTCAAAAGTTAGTCCGAGTCCATATGTATTGGTGTGTTCACTGTCTCATCTGGATTTGTCAGATTTTGCTACCATATCATGCATTTTTAGTGAAACTAATCAGCGTTGATGTTAGTATCTCATCATTGCTGTCTATTCTATCCTTTAGGATCCACTACTCTCTCTTCTATTCCTGACAACGTGCTGGCAGAAGCTGGAGACACTTGTCTATTTTTGTTTGACTGCTCAGTGCAGCCACCAAAATGTCTTCGAGTAACCGCTATTCCACCTGATCTCGTTCCTGTGATGAAATATCAGTTGCTGAAGTTTCGTGAATACCAGGCGAAGTCACCTTGACTTTGGTAACTCAGCTGAGTTTCTTCGGGTTTTTGATATCTCACTTTACAAGTAGTTTCTTCATGAATTATGGGTAGGTTACCTTTCCCTTATTTCCATGATATAATGTGCCTTATTCAATCTCTGCTCATTCTTAC